ATGAATAATCTATTAACAACGAACACATTGAAAATGTTTAATGAATTGTCAGAATGTGTTTAAGACAATAATCACTCAGACACCGGAGTCCCATAAATGCATGAACCACATGTGTCTTCGTATTAGCAGAGGTGCATCCTCTAGCAGCTCTGGAAGTATGTTCCAAATTAAGTCCCTGCAGACAGCTCCTGTGAGACATGCTGGGAGAACATATGGACCTACCAGACAGTTACTTATAATATCCAATCTGCACATTAATTGTAAATTGATGCTAGTGCCTAGCCTGTATTGTACCATGAGGATTCCGATCCACCCACAAATGCTGGTTTTGTAAATTTCTTATTCCACCTCTTCCAAATGTTGCCTCATCCGTAAACAAGTCTGAACAGACAACGGATCTTTAGTGCAATAGTAAAAGTTCTTCCGTAGTGAGTGATTATAGAGCGAAAAACCTGCACAAGTTGAAAATGACAACGGATACAGGAGCTGTCCTTGAAATGCCTCCATGCAGTACTATGAGATGTACGACATGCTAGGGTAACTTGATTTGTGCTGATAACTAGATCGTCTCCGACAGCCTGTAGTATGTGTTCTTTGTGGTCAGGCGTACGAGCGGAACTCGGATTTACTCAATTCATAGTTTGTGTTGCCACGGGTGCTGTCTCAGCAACGCGACGATAGTCATCAAAAAAAATTTGGAAATACAATCTGAAACAGCACCGCAGCCTCGCGTCCACTACCATCCAGACAGCCGTATATAAAAATTATATCTGCCTGCACACGATATGAATATTTTGCCATTGTTAAAAGAAACACTTCTCAGTTAACGGACTATTATGCAGGTTAAACGTCGAAGAGATACTAGTTACAAATATACACGAATGATAAATGTAAACTAGTCGCTATTGCAACACAGCGCCATTTGCGTAAACTTACTTTAAATTTAATAACTTAAAAAGGGAGGATTTGCGTTATATGTTATATGGAGTTTTGTCCTTGTTTCTGTGTGAGGAAGCTGCCTACAAATTTTGTAAAAGCATATATGTACACACACACACACACATGTATATATATAATAGCAAGCCATATATATATATATATATATATATATATATATATATATATATATATATATATATATATATTTGTAATAGCTAGCCATATATATATATATATATATATATATATATATATATATATATATATATATTTAGTTAGCCATTCGTATTGGTCCACTAGCCAATACATGTTGCAGACGCCCTCTCAGGCGCATTTTTGTTTGTTCAACACCCACAGAGCCCAACTGTAGTTTATACTGCAACTCTGCTGAGCAGACCTTAGTTACAGTTTCTAGGGGAGAGTGTGTTATCAAGCGTGATGAACAATCTCAGTCAATCAAATTACAATGTGGGGAAACCCAGGTGTATGCATATTCATTACATCAGAAATTATTAAGACATGTAAAGAACTCAAAAATAATATCGACATGAAAAGTAATTTGAAAGAAGTCAATTTATTAATGTAACATTAACCTCTGTAAAAGTGTACACATGCTGTAGGCAAAGAAAAATAGTATTTTCGGGCAGATCCCGAAGTGTGTGTGCTATAGAATTATCGAACATTTTAGATGTGATATCGGAAACCAAAAAAGGAAATGTCAAGGAAAATTTTGTATATTAATAATTAATCACGATACAACGAGGAAGAGTTATAACAATAAAAATATCATTTGATTCAAGAACCCCTAAAAAAACTATAAGGATTAAATTAGGCTGTATGCTGTTTCAGTTTAACGATAAACCCTCCCCACTGCCTAGTATGTGCACTCTGGCTAGATTTAGCAGTTTCTCTCTGCCGAGTGTTGATGTCTTAGAAACTCCGACTGACACCAACTCTTTTGGGTTTCTATCCTGGCTTGATGTTTTCGGTCTAGTTGCACTGAGTCGATGTGATGCAGCGAAAGAGTACTGTCTGCAAATGAAAGACGCACACACACACACACACATATATATATATATATATATATATATATATATATATATACAGGATTAACACAGATGACATCGATCAAAATTTATAGTAACCACAGCTAGAATGGACAATTTAAGTTATAAAAGTATATGAAAAAACAGTACTTAAATTTCACCGCTTTGTGAATAATAATTTAAAGGTCATTATAGTTACCGTCAGACAATCCACTGACAATATTTCTGACAGTAACATTATGTCCACATGAAACTTTTAGTCGCGGATCGCAGCAAAAATATTATATACTGTTTGGTAATATATATAAACGTTTTATGTTTATACATTCTTTTTATAGATGCAGCTATTTAAGTAAATGTTGTGGTTATAATAAACAACATTTTCCGGACAGAAAGGTTCGAGAAAGTTTCACAGAAAATATTCGTCCACCGGCAGGATTCGAACCTGTATCCTATAAGGCACCATCATTTAGCTTGACGCGCCTTAACCGATTCAGCTACAGAGGGGCATTCGGTTAGCAAGTTCGAATTTACTGTCTTTAAACTTCAATCTTCCATGAATCTCATGGAGCGCATCGAAATGTAAACAAATGACGTCACACATTATGAAATGGACAAAGTCCGACAATTATTTTTCAAGTCATTTTTATGTTTATAAATTCTTTTTTATAGATAGAAATATTTAAGATAATGCTCTGTTTATAATAAACAGTATTAAGCAACATTTACCGGCCTGAATATCCGAGAAAATGTCTTAAAATAATTGTCGGACTTTATCCATTTCATAATGTGTGACGTCATATATATATATATATATATATATATATATATATATATATATATATATATATATATATTCTGTTATACGTTACTTTTATAAACAGAAAATATATTAAATGATTGTCGGAATAAATCCATTTCATAATATATATATATGTGTGTGTGTGCGCGCGCGTGTGTGTGTGTGTGTGTGTATATATATATATGGGGTGGGTGGGGTTGTATGTGTATATTCGTGTACTTGTATGTGTGTCTGTGTGTGTGTGTGTGTGTGTGAGAGAGAGAGAGAGAGAGAGAATATGCACCCTACCGTGGGATGTATCCTTCAAGTAGCCACTTGCACACTGGTCACTCCCGTCGTTTTCTACGTATGAAGGCTAAGTAGATCAGTGGTGAAGTTTTGTGCAGAGCGAAAAATACTTTATGGAAGAGAACTGGTTGACAGTATGCCATAATGTCCCCAAACGACCCTCGGCAGGTTTCGTATTGAAGTTGCCTTCCTCCTAGATCGTTCAGCGTCCAAGGCTATATGAACCTGTATGCCTTGCTATTTACTCATAGCTGGGTTGGTGGCGTTGGATTCATACATTTCCCAAGTGTATTCGCAAGTAAATGAAAGTAATAAAATCGACTGAAATTCGAATTCGTCTCATTTGATTCTTCAATCAGAGCCACTATCCATTAAACCCTCGTCTGTGTGTGTTAACATCATCACCATCATCATCAGCAGCAGCAAGTAAAATATATGGCTAACGCACTTCCCATCTCATTTCATAAATATAAGTGATATGTGATTCACTTTTCATTTATAATTTATATGTATATATATAAATACACACACACACATATATATATATATATATATATGCATATTTTCAATGTATTTATATATATATATGTGTGTGTGTATTTGTGTGTATGTATATTTTCAGTGTATTTATATCTATGTGTGTATGCATATTTTCAGTGTATATATATATATGTGTGTGTGTGTGTGTGAATATATATTTTCAATGTATTTATATGTGTTTGTATGTATATTTTCAATGTAAAAATTTGTGCGTATGCATTTTTTCAATTCATATATAGCTATATGTGTGTGAATGTATATTTTCAATGTATTCATAGATATATATTTGTGTGTATGTATTTTACAATGCATATATATATATATGTGTGTGTGTGAGAGCGTGTTTGTATATTCTCAATATATATATATATATATATATATATATATATATTCATGTAAATATATATGTATTTACTTACTTATATACATGCAACTTAGACTGTGCTGTTAAATTTCTGTTGAGAAACACTCGCACATATGTTTGCTCGCGTTTGTGTGTACATGTGTGTTTGCGTGCGTACTTCTGAGTGTATGTTTGTATATGATTTTAGGTTGCTGCGTGTCTACAACTATGAGTGTGTATGTTTTGTAGGATTTCGTGTTTATCTTATCCGCGTGCAGACTAAACGCAAATATTTGTAGGCAGATAAACTTTCTTCTCGATTCTTTCTTCAATTCTCGTTGCTTTCACAACTGATGAGAAGCCATAAAAGCCTTCACACAGCGCTTTTGATTTTTCATCTAGACGTTTGAGAGTTGCCTCTTGAAAGCTGAATCGTATTATTATTTACCCTGTGTCCAGTCTCCAACGGTCTCACCACCAAACAATACCTCCCCCATCATAACGTTCACGATGAAATATCGAGTATCGCTCGGTAATTCGACCAGTGATTATTTTGAAGTGTAAACGTCCAAGAGCCGATGTCAAATTCTTTATCGCTTTCGGAAATAGATAAATATTCTTTTGGTTTGATTTCTTTCTCTTTTACAAATATTGATACAGTAAACGCGAATCGGTATGTTAGCTTAAATACGGGTGAGTTAAATCACTGAAGGAGGATTGTTTTGCGTCCTTTCTATGTGAGAAGTGCTTGTATTCCTTGAAAATGTTAATGGTTAAAATGGTCATTTCCACACAGGAAGCATATGGCATTCATTGACTGGACAGTAACCGTTATTTTCTGTTGAAATAGATTAAATCTTTCTCTTAAAACGTTTTTTTTTCTCAAGAAAATACTCTTGTGAAGTCCGCTAAAGGCTACAGCTTTTTCTAGTAAAGCTGATACTTTCCTTCCAAACCTTTTGTTTACGGTAGTGTGGAAAGTAAACATCTTGATGATATCATTTTCCCTTCATGTTAAAGTGCTACCTATTTCTGTTGGCTTTCGGACATATCACGTTGAAACACCTGTTCCCGTACGATCGCAAAAGTTAAGCAACGTCGAATCTGGGCAATACCTAGATGGGTAGCCGCTTGTGAATATCAGGTGCTGTACGCTTCGATGTGCATGTTTGTGTAATGGATTATGGCTTTGTTAATCTGTGAGCCGAGTTCCAATTCCAGTTAGGTTCGTTTTATTCACTTACGCGCAAATACCCTTGGGAATGGCATTCATCCACCTCTTCCTCCCAACTAAGGGTTAATTAGTAATTCATGTGTTATATACCGTACCTATGAACACTAATGGACATGTCCTCATTCTCATAAATATACTGGACACTGTTGTAAGTGGGGGGTTAAAATGATGTCTAAGTAGTCCCCCCACTAGAAGTGGTTTACCTATTTCACGCCGCTGGCGAGTATTGTATTTTGTTGATGTTAGGAAGATTATCATTTCATTTCCAACTTCTGTTTTGTATTCAATAACCGTTTCTAAGTTACAACAAAATGTATTACCAAATCCATTATTAGCTTCAAAATAATAACAATAATATATTTATATTTGATTGCTTATTTATAAGAATAATTTTATATTTATAACATTCTAAAAACAAATTAAAGTTTATTGAAACAAAACAATTACAGTTGACGACTGACGACAATTCCAGAACAACGTAACAATAAACAATTTTTTCTAACCTCTGCCAGCCGCAGAGGTTAGAGAAAATAATAAAAAATTGGAAATAATAATAATAATAATAATAATAATAATAATAATAATAATAATAATAATAATAATGCATACAAAATATTTTAATTTCGGCATTAAATAAACCATAGATATGTCCCTAAAGAAAAACAACCAACCAATCAATTTCTGTTGTTACTTTAAATGATGCAGTTTTTGTTATTTAGTAATAATCCTTGTTTATGATATACTTCTGTCTTTGTAGCGTTTTCTTTTTTACTTCCTTTTTTTTAAATTTCCTTTTCGTTCATTTCGTTCTCATTTTAGATTTCTTTTTCTTCTTACTTTTTTTGTATTTATTCTTCATTTATTTTTTGTGTCTTTTCTTCATTTTTCTTTCGCATCAATGTGTACTTATTATGTATCTTTCTTCCTTTTGCTACCTTTTCCTCTTTTCTTTTTCATTTTCTTCTTTACCTTGCACACTCTCTCTCTATCGCTCTCTCTCTCTTTCCTTTTCTCGCTCATGTTTTTGCCATCGCTTTATTTTTTTTTTTCGTTTCTTTCTTATTGTTTCATTTAACACTTTTTCTCTCTCGTCTGCTTTCTCTCTTTCTTCATTCTCTCTTTATTTTCGCTTCCTCTTTTTCTTTTTCATTTTCTTCCTTTGTCTTATTTTTCTATTTATTTTTTCCCATTTTTCTTCTTATCTTTTCATTTCTATGTATCTTGCGCTACATCACATTGTTCAGTACTATATATATCTTATATATAAAGTTCAGTGTATATACGGTTGTATGTCCAACCAACTCCTCTGCCCCCACTGGACCGATTTCAATGATTCCTAACTCATTGAAAAGCCATAGAATAGTTAGGTGAAGGGAATGATTTTCGTTGAGCTCAGATTCAGGGTTGCCAGATTATGCAAGGTTAAAATATATATTAATATATTATACTAAAGCTTATCGTTGATTTCATGATTCAAGGGGAGTAAGTTTTATTTTACATTTGTATGCAAAATTTCAGCTAGCTTAAATTTTATGCTAGCTGCAATTTTAATTTTTTTAAATGCAACTGGCTTAAATTTTAAGCGAGCAAAATTTTTAAGCTAACTTAAAAGTCACTCTATCGGAGGACTCTTGGTTTGGCCGTCATCACAATAGCTAAGAAGAAATAGATGTGATAGGCATCAATAAACTACAGAAGAACTCAAAATTGATCGCTGCATTTTAGTATTGAATTAATGTTTAAAGTTACCTTTTAAAAGTTCAACGATAATTCTTCTGTTGCCATTTTATTTTAGTTTTAAATTGATGTACGTAAATCCTTATTTTCCGTACAAACAAATATTTTTATTTCATGGGTGACAGAACAGTGGACATTTTATAAAATAACATTAATATAATGTGCAGGTTGGAAAATAGAAACTAGAATTAGTTATATATTCAACATTTGAAGAGTTAGAGAAACGTAATAGCTAATTAAGTAAAACGTAAATCTATATGAATAAATGTGAAATTGGAGCTCAGTTCTCCTACGAATTCTGGGATTAAAAATACTCAGCTCTACTTATTATTTATTCAACCCCCAACGGAGTCACGTTGGGGCACAATGCCAGAGCCAGACGCGTACACCTGAGCTAAAAACTAAAATTCCCCGAGCCTCTGGCAACGGTCGTTTGCGCTTGCCTTGGTGCGAGCACAGATCCCTCTCTCAGGTGCAATGAGATGGCACGGTCTCGGTCAGCTGCCTCCCAAGACTGGGCCCACCTCAGTATAATTTATCTCAGTTGTGACTGTGTCATTTGACGGAGCCGTCCCTGAGCGCCATATGCCCAAAGACAGAGACGCAACTGATAAATGATAAATAAAAGTGTTACAATTTACATGAGGTCAGGTTGTGACACAAGGTCGGTTTAATGTGGGGAGCTCGAGCCCGTACACCCGGGCTAGGAACAAAAATTCCCTAGTCCCCGCAACGGCTAGCACCTATGCTTCTCTCTGGTGCAAAGAGAGGGCGTGGCCTCGGGTAGCTGTTCCCCAGTTCCACAAAACGTTTGCTCATCATTTAATCGTAACAGAACCCCTTTTAAGATAGTTCTAATATATATAAAATTAATTAAAAAAAGCAAAATATTAACCTATTCTAGAAATATACATATCCCTCAGATTATTTCTTCGTAATTTAAAATGGAAGTATGTCTTAATATGACAGTTTCCCGAGACATGTATGAATACTACAACCCCCACAACACGCAACCGATATTTTTAACTTTTCTACGTTAGCTTTCACATGTCTTTTGATTAATCAAGAAAGTCATGCCCATAATATTTTTAAATCTGGTCCCCACCCTCAGTCAGTCAGTTATATGCCATGCGTGATAAACGCTTAGTGGATCATGTATCTTGCGATATATGATTGATGAGGCAGATTTTTCCCTCAATAGGATGCCATTTCTTTCTGCGGTAGATCAGAATCCAGTCTGTCCTGCTATTTACCCATAGCAGGGGGAGAAGAAGAGGATTCATATATTTCCCAATGGTATTAGCACGTAAGTGAATGTAATGTATTCGACTGGAATTCGAACTCGGCTCTCTGATTCCTCAATCCGAGTCGCTTCTACTTAACTCTTTAATAAGTAAACGTATTGTTTTCAGTTTTCAAAAGTAAATCATTTTCATCAGAAATTACCCAACATTGCCTGATGACGGGATAAAAAAGAATTAAGTCTCGAAACGTAGAAAGTCTGAAAGTCCAGAGAAAAATAAAATTCTCTGGTGAAATAAATTATTACAAGTGATCTATTTTTCTTTAAATTAAATTATTCGCTCTGAATTAACAGTGAACTCTCAGGATTTCATCCTCCTTATGATTATGCATACGTATTACCAAGATTTTCGTTACTTATATATATATATATATATATATATATATATATATATATATATAATAAAATATAATTGGTATATACGGAATGAATTCCAATAACCAACGATTACTATTCTTAAAAGAGTGCTCAATACAAAGTATAGCAGATATAATTATTTTTTATAAAAAAATTATAACATAAGCATGTTATAAAATCACTAAAAAAATAGCCATTTTTTTTCAACACACTCTGTGTCTTATCAAGTGATGATGTTGAAAAGAAAACATTTCAACATCATCACTTGATAAGACACAGAGTGTGTTGAAAACAAAATGGCTATTTTTGTAGTGATTTTATAGCATACTTATGTTATAATTTTTTTATATAAAAATAATTATATATATATATATATATATATATATATATATATATATATAAATAGTGTGACTTTTACCAGCCACATTTGTAATAGAAACGTGGGTAAAAATAACGAGAGAGTGAGATTTCAGTGAGAGAAAAAATAATAAAGAAAGAAAGCGGGCGAAACGCTAAAAGACAAAAAAGAAAACTGATGCAATAAAGTGAGTGGTCTTAATGGTTTAGAAGGCTGGAAAGTAAAGAAAGAGAACGAAGAAGAGAAAGAAGAGAGAAGGTAATGGAGAGAAATAAATAATGAAACGGATAAAAAAAGCGAAGTAATTTTTTTTTATTATGAAATGGATGAAATTATCGAAGGAAAAAAAAGAAATAGGGAGAAATGAAAAGGCATCAAAGCAAAAAAACGAAGTGAGGCTGACAAAAACTGAGAAAAAAAAAGATAAAAATCAAACTGAAAATCTAAACATGGAGTGTAAAGGATGGAAAAAAAGTAAAGATATTAAGATTAAAACAAATTGATATGCGGGAAGACGAAGGCATGTGACAGAAATAAAACAAAGAAGAAAAAATGATCTAAAACAACTGAAACAACAACAACAAAAAAAAGAAAGTGGGAATTTAAAAATGTAAGCGTGTAGAAAACAGAAGATAAAAAATACAAGGAAGCAAAAGAAAAAAGAAAAAAAAAGAGAGAAAAGAGAAATAAGAAAATGAAAATAAAATAAGGGATAGAAACAGAAAAGAAAAAATTCAGCGAAGGAAATAAGAAAACGAGAAATAACGAAAACAATGAAATAAAACATTAGAAGGGAAGGAAATGAAGAGAAGAGAAGGAAAAAATAAAGGAAACGAAGAAAAGAAAAGGGAAAAGAGAATGAATCAGAAAGAAGAATGAACAAAGTAAAACAATAGAAAGAATGAAATGTAAAGTAGAAAAGGAAAACAAAAGAACGAAAGAAAAGGAAGAGGTAAAAAAAGAAAGATGGAAAGAAAGGCAGCCAAAAAGAAAATAAACACAAAAAACGATGACAAAACAAAAAAAGAATGGAAGAAGAAAGAAGTATGAAAACTCAAAGAACCAATGATGAAAACGGAAAAGTAATGAAAATGGATGAAAGAAAAAATATTTAGAACCTTTTTAATGATGATAAAATAAAGAAAAGGAAAACAAAACTGAAGA